AAATTAAATTTTCAGAAATAGGTTTGGGTTAGGTTATATCTTCCGGAAGTGGAGCCCCCCCGTAGGGGGGGGGCGGAATATTTCGTTCACGTATATACTTTCTCATTCACACAACAATCGTGAGGTGAACCTCGCTTCGCGTTGTAAAGTATATGCGTGGACACAGTGGGTTTTGCCCCCTCCCTACGGGGGGGCTCCACTTCCGAAAAATATAATCTAACCCAAATCTATTTCTGATTTAAAACTAAAATTTGATTCAAGTTACGTTATATAACTCAAACCAAATTTCCGTTTCGAATCTAACTTTAACTTTAAATATCTTAAAAATTATAAGAGACCGCCGATTAAGTTATAAGGAAAAGTTACTCAGGATTATGTCCTTGACAACATATGTCAAGGTCAACATCATTGGAGCTGGGTCCGTTATAATAAATAATTACCGTAATTTATAATAAAGACTAGTAATCCATAATTAAAACTAATAATCTTAATTTAAAGACATTTGTTAATTTATTTTTCTTCTTGTTATTAACAAACAAGCAATTATTTAATGATAAATGCAATTATTTAATTTTATATCTTATACAGAAGCATTATGAAAACTTTTCGACGCATCTATTGCAAACATAACATGAAAAAGACACAACTTTATATGAATTGGTATTGTATATTGACTTACAAGGAAACCTCGTGAACCCGAAAATTCTGATTTTTATGAAATTTTACCCTACATATGCAGAGTTGGTTTCGCGAGGTTCCCTTTTAATAGTAAATGAATCTTGTAACGGACTTTTAATTTACAACTTGATAATAAAGACATAAGATATAAAAAATGACAGTGTCCGATAAAATTATTGCGAGAAGAATTTATTTATTTACTACCTATATATGTATAAAGTTTCATCTCATAAGAACATCTCTATATATTTAACCACATTAATACAATTTTTAAAAGTAATTTTTTTCATAATTTATTTTTTGCATCTCTTATATAAAAAAATATCTGCTCCGTTATAATACTATCAAATAAAGGTACTTTCATTTTGAATGTACTTATAATTCTTTAAACTTATTAAAACTTACTATAATTCTTTATATTGTAATTTTAGCGCCAATTAAAAATTTTTCTATTTATTCACCTATGTATAAGATAATCTTTTCCAAAGATTTTTGAAAAATTTTTGTTTTAATTATTTTTTCAAAATTTTGTTAATGTAATTAAATAGAAGTGTTCTTACCATGAAACTTTTGTATAAATCATTTTTTGATATCACAAATAATCTTTGAGATATAACGAGAAAAGCAAAAAACCGCTCTACATATGAGGGGTGGTTTCATCCTTCAGAATCGTTTTTAGGCAGCAACTGAAAATTTCTAAATTCATCTATTTACCACTCCTTCTCCCTTTACATGTGTGTAAAGTTTCATCAAAATTAAAATTTCCGGGTTTGCGAGATTTTCTTTTAGTACATATTTTATCATATCATATTTTATATGAAATGGTATTATCTCTCACACTTGTTTATTTCCTAAAATATTTGTAATGATAAGGATATATCATTCGATATCAGCACGTCTTTTGCGAAAAAAGATAATTTAATTTTTATCTAGACGTTATGCGCGTGATTTAGCGATGACGAATTAAATTAAGAATGCGTGTTTTAATCAATTATATTGTGAAACCAATCTATACTAACATATTTATATAAATATAAAATAATCGTAGAAATAATAGGCACAATCGCACGTTAAAACAACACAAAAAGTATTATAGTTATGATATTGAAACTTTATGCTGATTAATGTTTTAATATTATCTGTTAGGGAAAATAAATTTCGAGAAAACAAAATATGTGATTATTTGCTATACAAATCTACATATATAAGATATATAAGATGAGTATTAAAGAGAAATATATAAGATGAATATTAAAAACATCTTCATATTATAAAAATATATAGAAATGTGTGAATAGAGTTTTATAATTCATGATTACAAATTAGCTGCTATATATGTATCATTGCAAAATTTAATTGAAAATTGTATGATATAATATTATCCGAATGCAAAATACTGATGTGTGCTTCAAATCATTTATACAATAATTATATAGATGGCAACATTGTAAATACTCGACCATTCGCGCACATACATTTTACATTGTATGCCAAGATAAACGTAACTTAAATATAGATACGTGTCAACTAATGATTTTAATCGTAGGATACTTATATAAATTGAAGATAACATGTTCAAATGTGCCAGATTGTATTTATCGCTATGAATGCTCTCGCTGGTCTTATAGTCTCGTGCCTGGCGTTTAACGCCTACGGTAAGTCTGTTTACGTAAAATCCTATTGAAAAAGAAAAGTAATTCGGGATTCTAATGCATTGCACAAAAATCGTTATCATAACAATAATGCTTATTATATATTAACATCGCATAATATATAATCTTTTCATCGCGCACATGACACATTTCGAATGAATTGTAAAAAATATGCTATCTCTCCCTGTATATTGAATGTATTTCTTATAATTTGCAATTTTACGTTCAAAAATATTTATATCGCAATAATTATTCGATAGATTATTTATTTATGATCAATAGGTTTGCCGAGTTCGCAGATTGCCGGCGGCAAAGATGCTCTGGATGGTTTATATCCTTATCAGGCATCATTGAGAGATTCATTAAATGGCAATACATATTTTTGTAGTGGGGCCATCATCAGTGAGCACTATGTCATTACCACTGCGCAATGTCTTACTGGGTATGTATATTTTTTCTTTCAAGATTTTAATTTCTTAATATTTAATTGCCCAATCTTTATTCAAATAACCGAATAAGACTCGTGAACAAAATTAATGTAATTTAATAATATCGTTTATTCGTTCTCAATGAGTATAGCAAGAATTGATAAACCAGTGTTACGAAACGCTATGTTTGTAAAAATGCGCGTAAATGGAGTTCTATTCGTGTACTTTGTCATTGTATTATCAGTATGATGATTATCTAAAAATGCTACCTGAAGATAATGCTTTTCAAGTTGTTAGACAAAACATCGCGATAGAACAGTCCTCGTGTATTCAATTCTGCAAATGATTGTTGATTGCGCAATTTTACATAATAAAAATCAGCGAAATAAATTTTATTTAATTTAAAAATCTTGTGTCTGAAGAATGAGAAGTGCAAAACTTTAAGAAATATTTGTGTGGCAATAATTTTTGGCACCTTTCAGAGACGCAGCCTATTTAGTTTATACGCAATTAATACCGTTCTAGCTTTAAACATTTATATTGTTCAGATTAAACGTAAAATTAGAAACATGGAAATAATTATTATCTATATTTCAGGAGAAACAAAAATCCATTTAATATTAATGTCGCTGTTGGAAGCAATTACCTTGATAAACCTTACGCGTTATATAAAGCAGCAGACGTCATAATACATGCTGGATACAATAAATTGTCAAATCTTAATAATATTGGTTTAATCTATATACCGGAAACTATTCCGCTTAATCGTTCAGAAAATGTCCAGCCGATTACCCTGCCAAATGCCGATCGGAATTATGAGGATTATCCTCTTTTAATTACTGGCTGGGGAAGACTCTGGGTAAAAAACATAAAATACATTATGTGAAATCTAAATAGTATTCACGCACGCTTCGACGAATACAGTTTTGATCTTGAGAATTTTTAAGAACAATATAATTTCTTTATTATTTTGATTTCAAAACACCATTTATTTATTCTAATTAGAATTCAAGAAATAAATCTTTTTTTTTAATAAGAATTAGAAATTCGACGTTTATTTATAATTTACTTCAGAATATATTAGATCTTTAGAGAAAAGGATTTATTTTCTATTGTTTTTTATTTCTACGGCTATTTTCTATTTTAATAAATTGATAAATTAATTAAAAAGCATGAATGTATAGCATATTAGCTATTATTTTCAAAAATAGTATCTAATGATAATAATCAAATAATAAAAATAAAGAAAAACAATTTTAAAATAATAAATTTTTATTTTATAATTCAATTTTTATTTGTGTAACTCAAGATCTGTTAACTTATATGTAATGTCTTTTATTCTTTAATTTATTAAATTTTGTCTTGTGGTTTTTGTATTTTAAATTTGACTATATGTTATACGGACATCTGTTAATTGCTCCTCGTGCCTTTTCTAATTGTTTAGAAAAAATTTTATGTACTATTGTCAAAATAAAAAATTATAAATTATTATGAGATATAAATCATAAAACAATTAAATGGGAAAACTGGCAAATAAAACTCAAAGCGCGGGTATTAGTGCGCGAACTTATTATTATTATAGTAATAAATATGTATTAAAAATGTACATTTTGGACCGTTTTTTGGTCCATTCTTCAACATGGATATAAATGTATAAAGATTACATTAAAATTTTAAAACTTGACATACATAACATTTGTTGTTGCAGTCAAATTTCAAAATTCCAATGTACTCGTTATATATTTATATCCATGCTGATGATGGACCAAAAACGGTTCAAAACGTTTAAAAAAAAAAACAATTTAAAAAAATACACATTTATTACTAAAATATAACAATAATAATTTCGCGCACTAATACTCGTGCCTGGGCTCTTATTTGCCAGTTTTACCACTTAACTGTTAGTACTCTAAGTCTATTGCTGTTATTATTAAATTATAAAAACAATGCTCTATAAAAATTATGGTAAAATGGCTTACATTTTGTAGAATCAGGTCTTAGCTAAATTGAAAACAATTCTTTTTAGAGCGGCGGTCCGATTCCCAATCATTTGCAAGAGATTATAGCGAAAGGATGTCCTGAAAAAACATACAGTAGAAATTTCAACGACATTAAGAAACTATGTACTTATACAACGCAGGGTGAAGGGATATGCCACGTAAGTAATCGTATAAAATAGATAATACGTGTGTGTGCGTGCGCATGCGTGTATGTATATGTGTGTATGAGAGATAAAACGTTTTTGTTGTTTGTTACAACGTTGAAATTTATAATAATTTAAAAATAACATAATTACACTCACATACTATCATTGATTTAATCTATGAATTGATATCAAAAAATAAAAATCGAAATTCTCGCTATTTGAATATTATTTCTCAGAACTCGTCGCTTCTAATAAGTATAATTATTCTTTTTTGTGAAAGTAGTTTTTAAGTTGTCTCTTTCTCTCTCTCTCTCTCTCTCTCTTACATAGAAAAAAAAAATTACAATATATTGCATAGATTATTGATTTTTGAATATGAGAAAATTAATAATATACATTCTTGAATTTCAATTCACATTGGTATATTAAATACATTCTCTCGATAGGGTGATGCCGGCAGTCCAGTCGTTGCCGATGGTGTTTTGGTTGGTCTCGTGTCCCACAATTATGCTTCGTGTGGTTCAGGTTTACCAGACCTGTCTACTAAAGTATTTTACTATAAAACGTGGATTGACTCCCATACAAAGAGATCTTGATTTACAAACGACGATATCGCATTAAAAATATATTTTCTAATAAAATAATATTCTTCAGTTTTTGATAATATATTTGCGCATACATTCAGTTTTATAGATATGTGTATGAATTTCTTGTACGCACATAGATTAATCATTGATGAATATATATACAAAAGGATAAATATGTTCTTAACAAAAATTATATTGTTAATTGGGTGATAATTATGTAACACGCTTGCTACAATAGAAACAAATCAAATATACACAATGTTTACTTAAATATTCTTTATTGAACACACTGTAATTCCGCTGTTAATTTTGTCGCCGTTTATGTTTGATTATTTTGATGTGTTAGAATTGCATTTTTCTATTGATTTAATAATTTGATTTAATCATTCATACATATATAATCATGAATATACGGATAGCTTCTTGTACATTTAGTTATAATTACGGATTTATTGCAATATGTATGTGCCTTTATAAATGTCAAATATGAACTATACGTATAATGTATGATCAGGAAAAACTGATTGCATGTTAGAAAAAGTTGACACTAGCGGAACGTTCTTTTATTCGTTTCTTAGAAAGATTTTTATGATAACTAAGTAATAACAGCAATGTAAAATAAAATTTGTCTCATTAATATCTTTGTAGCTTTACAGACAGAATTTGATTGCTGCAAGGAATAAGAGAGTAATTGAAGATTTTTTAAAGTTTTATTGTTAAGGACGTAAATATATTTTTATATTAATTTTTATATAAAAATAAATACGTAAAAAACTACAATATACATTAACAAAGACATTAATATAAATTTACGTTATCGTAAAATATAATCGAAGATTGAATTTAAACCTTTGAACAGAGAAGATAATGTTTCAAATAATAATCATGAATATTTTTTAATAATTATGATATTTATTGTTTTGACAAAAAATGTTATAAATATGATAAAAATTAATAAATATCTAGCAAATAAAAGATAATATAGCTGCTTATTTCTATGTAATAGATCAATGATTGATACTAGCAATCGAATAATTGTTTTTGCTTAAAACGTTATGATATCCACATATTTATAAATTGTTTGCATATTGTTGATTGATTATCGATATTTTCCATCAAATGATACATCATCTGTAAAATTCCCTAAAACATATTGAATAATCAAGATATCATTAATTAAACATCAGCAGTTATCATGTGTATCCGAAAATAATTAGATTGTTATCTAAATTTTATGAGATTGATACAGCAATAGTAGGGGAAAGTAGAATAAAACCGGGTATCTCCGTTTCTTTGTGATAAGTGCTACTATCTTTGGCCAACTCTTGTTATTAGTTGTAGATTATCGCCATCATTATTTTCAGATGAACCGTGTCCACGTGTACACGATATTTCTTGTTTGAGAGAAGTCCAAAGAGTTTTCGGGCCAAAGAAGATCAAAATCGAGGCAACAATCGAGTCGTCGTGGACTTTTTCTACACAGGGAACTACTACTACTCTTCGGTAAGTGCAGCATTGCATTTTGTACATATAAGAGAGTATATCGTACTCGTTTTGATCGTCACTTTGTACACCGGAATGTATAGCCGCCGTATTTGTTATTTTCCTCGTGTTGGAACAAAATACACACCTTATATAATGAAAAGAGGAGAAACTGCCATCCTGAATTTGTCTCCCTACAAAAAGCAATCGGAAATGGAGACTACCACTCAGAAAAAGAAATCACTAAGAAAAAGATTTTTGAGACCCCTAAAGTTAAAGAATTAAATTTAAAAAAAGTAGGAAGACAACTTATTCTCAGAGGAAGAAAAAGATGAAGCCTGCATCCTTTGCAATGATTTGTACTCAACATTAATCAAGGGCTGAATACAGTGCATTGCACGCTAAGGATGGGACCAATGTCTTGCTGTAATGTAGAGTAAGAGAATGTCTTTGTTTATGATTTTTATTTCTAAAATATATTTTTGTATTATATTTTGATTAAAATAAATCAAAATTTCATGATTACACGGTGTTTTACATGCTTTCAAATAGGTACCCGATTTTACTCTATCGGTGGGTCAAAACCTATTTTGACTTCTTCAAAAAATCCTGTTATACTTGATAACCAAATTTTTTTTAGCAACCAGCCTTATATTCTCATAGTTCAAGTTTACTAGAGACTACTAAGGTCAACAGAATCTTTTTTTGCTCTCTGATTTGTTATAGGAAGACAAATCCAGAAAAGTACGGTTTTGCCTCACTTTTCTCTATATCAAGTACGGAGTACTTTGAACTTTGCATGACAAGATAAAATATATTAAGAAGTATATATTAGAAAGTATATTTTATAAATATATTTTATAGTTTTTGTGAAATTATATATAGCGCTAGAAATGTAACGTGACGCTCTAAATTAATTTTATATATAACTCCATATATCATATTATTATATCAAATACAATAAATATATATATATATATATTTAATGTATAATAGATAGATATAAGAAACAAAATTTAATTTGAATAAAACTTTATCACACATCATTACATACTTATAATTCTGTTGTAAAATAATATATAAAGTTATGGAATTTACGTACACACACGATCTAGAAGAGAAATAAAGATGAGAATATTATATAAAGATTTATAAATATATATATATAGAAATACGCATTTACGAATTCTGTTAGAATTACAACGAAACTCTTTAATTATAATATTTCAAGATTTAGCGAAGAATATATAAATAAATATTATTTCCTATTATTCACTTATTATTATTATTATATTTATTTATAGATAGCAGTATTATAGTATTACCAATATTATTATCAATATTATTATCAATTTCTATTAATACACGATTCATATCCTGCCTCGTAATAAGATAATCGTACCTTAAATATAGAGATGTGTTAATTGATGATTTCGATTAAAGCAGCAGAATACTTATATAAATTGCAGGCAACAGGAAGTGTTTGGAAGTGCCACAGTGCTTATCGCTATGAAAGCTATCATCGGTCTTATAATAACGTGCTTGGTGCTTAGGGCCCATGGTAAGCACACATTCGTTAATTACGATCTTATTGATGAACAAAAATCGGGCTCATATCTTAACAATGTTGCTCATTATGAACTGAACCGCGTATAATCTATTCAGAATCCAATGTTCTGAATACATATTTTTGTACATATTAAATTTATTTTGATTTCTTTTTCTGACTTCCATATTTTATGTATTTGTTAATATTGCAATAAATATTTTTTAAATTATTTAACATTTTGTATCATATAATTAGACAGAATATAAATAATCAAAAGATTAATAAGATTCTATGTATGAATATATATAAGTGTGTGATATTAAAAATCTTGTTAAAACAGATATGTCCTATTTAATGCTTATTATGTTTTAAAACGGAACATATTGTTATAACAATCAATGCTTTGTATCAATCTGAAATCGATTCCCTTTAACAACAAATACAAAAATAAAATAATAATATCTTCAATGAACAGGTTTGCCACTTTCACAAATTGTCGGTGGCAGCGATGCTCCAAATAACCTGTATCCTTATCAAGCATCATTGAGAAATTCAAAAAACAATAGGCATTTTTGCGGTGGAGCCATCATCAGTAAGAATTACATTATTACCGCAGCGCACTGTTTTAGTCAGTATGTATACCCTTTTTCTTTCTCTTTTTAAGTTCAAAAATATTCAAATTTTAAAAGAAATTTATATATCTTTAACGGAGTAAGAAACAAGAAAATTACTACTAATTTCATCTATTTTATAACATATACTAACGCAATAGTTTTTAATTATTTATAATTTTTAAAAATCTTATGCCAATTATCGCAAAGTTTGGAGAATGTAACGACAATGAAGCATGCATGCACGTCTATGTACTGTAAAAATGTAGCCTATTTCATTTGTCAAAGATTTCTCTCTATTAATAGACATTTCTATTTTTTAAATTTATTCTTTAATTAAGTATTTATGCAATTAATTATAATTTTTATCAATTCTTAGTCTCAACGATCCATCCGATGTTCTTGTTGCTGTTGGAAGCAATTATCTTGATGCACCTCGTATTGTGCATCAAGTAGCAAATTTTATACGACACGATGACTTCGACAACTTCCTGTATATTAATGATATCGGTCTAATTCGTGTAGTGCAAGATATCGAATTTAACAATAATGTACAACCGATTGCCTTGCCAACTGCCGATCCTAATTATGACGATCGTGATCTTGTAGTTACTGGTTGGGGAAGACTCCAGGTAAATATAAAATCTATTACATGATTTAACAGATTCAAAAAGTTTAAGAATTTTAACGAATATAAGTTTAATCTCAAGAGCGATATAGACTTTTTATCACGTTTATATTTAAAAAATTTCTATTTAAAGAAAATGCAAAATAAATATTTAAAAAAGTTTCATTTTACCAAAAGATCAACATAATGGGCGTGACTTTCAAATAATAATTATTATCATAATTTAAAAAATTTTACAAATTGTATTAATAATTTTCATTTTGGAATATTTATTAGTAATGAGTATTAAAAGCTTATGATTTACCGTAGACAGTAGATAAAATATTTTTTATTTTTTATTATTGGAACAATAAACTGCTAATGTGTCAGCAGAAGCACCTTATTTTATCATTATATTCGAAAACAAAATCTTGCAAACATAAAGTCATAAATTCCTATCTTTTTATTTGCTAACTTCTGAGTAGATAATTTTAAGACGTAATTCCATGTATTACACATTTGCTTGATTCTATTGATTAATTTAACATATTTTTCAAATTTTGTTTAAGTTTATTTTATTGATTTAAAAGAAATTTAATGTGCATATCTTTTATATATCTTTTTATATACTTTTTCTTATATTATTTTTATTTATAAAAATGCACATATATCAAAGAAAATGGTTGAAAGAATTTATATATAATAATTTTTACACACACACACACACACACACATTTATTTATATTATAAATGCTCTATAATAATTGTTATAATAATCCAGGATAGAATTTCTTGTAAGATGAGACAGCAGCTAAATTGAAAATAATTTCTTAGGCTGACGGTCCAATTTCTAATCAGTTGCAACGGATTATGGTAAAGGGATATTCTCAAACGAAATGTAACAGACATTACCAAAATAGCATCGTAGAAACTCAAATATGTACTCTTACGATACAGGGTGAAGGAATGTGCAACGTAAGTATTATCCTAAAATAAATTATATATAATGTATATTTTGTTATAATGTTTATAAAATAGAGAGTAATTATCTTATCTATGAATTAAAATTAAGAAAAAAAATAAAAAGTTTCGTCGTTTCGATAATTTTCCTTTATAATCGTTTCCGATAAAAATGATATAACATTTTTCTTACAAAAATATAATAATTTTAATTTCGTTTATTTACAATTACACAGTTCAAAAAATTAATACTACATATATGTACATCGATGTGAAAAATATGACAGACATCAAAATATATTAAATATATTGTTTCAATAGGGTGATTCCGGTGGCCCGCTCGTTGCTGATGATGTTCTGGTTGGCCTTGTATCTTTTGGTGTGCTTCCATGTGGTAGCGGCATTCCCGACGTGTTTACCAGGGTATTTTATTATAGGACATGGGTCAACTTTCATACGGGGATCTGAATGACATAGCATGAAATAGACCGAGATATGCCCAAAATATGATCCAAACATTTTCGATTTTTATCATAATGTACTTGTGCATTTTTGTTCTCAAAAAATTAATTTCGTTCAATTTTTGTAGACCCATATGCTTCATTGTTACACTTGCATAGTCAAGATTACCTATTGATGGATATTACGTATGCAGAAGAATAGACGCGATAAAAAAAAAAATATTGTTTTCAAGATAATAATTATATCCACACGTACGGTTTTTTATACACATATATTTGTACCTACAATTTTTTATAAATTATCTTATATATATCGCGATTATGGATATCGCGGGCTTTGCGTGCCTTGGACGAACGGAGGATACGCGTTGTATCCAATAGTCGGTGAATACTGGCCGCACTTCGGAAAGTTTCTTGGCACTGGCGGAATGTCCTCCTGGTTGCCGACTTTTAGAAGCATTTCCATGCCGACTGTTTGATGATAGATGAAATGACAGTGGAACAACCAGTAACCTACAAGAAAATACGTAGTTGTTAATCATCTTTATTTGTTTGTAGGTATTTTCCTGAGAAAAGAAAAATTATGTAGAAGTAAAATCGTTTATATTTTGCAATTATACTTACGTTATATATTTCTATATTAATATGAACATATAAGATGACACAAAAACTATATACGTAAAAAATTACAAGATATATGTTGACGAAGATGGTACACTCTCTATGTGTGTTTAATATAAATAATATTATTAAAAAATTATGTGTGTGTGTGCTTTTTGTTGTATTCCTTCTATATTGAAAATTTTCGTTAACTATTTACCAGGATTATTTGCGAGGAAACGCAATACAACGTAGCCGTTATATGGAACCGCAATGGTATCTTTTTTGACCGGCTTATCGAAGCATCTGTTGACTTGATTTTTTCTGTCCATTTCCTGTACCATTTCCCAGTTAATACTACTCGTATTGGCTTCGCCCATAGCCATCACGTAGAATGTATATCCGTGCATATGGAATGGATGAGACAAATTGATCCCTTGTACTGCAATGAAAAATACAAATGTTTCTTAAAAAATATTAATTCTTTTCGTAAACTGTGATTTGATTAAATTTAATTAAAATCTCGCAAATATTAAATGTAACTCGTATATTCGAGTAATAAAAATAATTAAACGTATCGAAGACATGTCTGATATATATTTAAAAAAATATTAAATAAAATTTTAAATCTATTAAACACACACACACACGAAAGATAAACAGCGTTACTTTGAAATACGATACTTACCTTCATCTACCAACAGTATCTCGACAACTGAATTGAGCGGAATATCCACTTTGTGCGTACACGTGCACACACCATTGGCGCAACTTTCCGGTAAAGTAGTTCTGTTACAGTATTGATTGTTCGGAATGTCCTTAGGCTGTGAAAGTGGCGGAGAAGGTGGAAATTTAAACGATATGCCATCGACTACACCGCTTAAAGAGAGTGTACCTGCTGCCACTATGTCAGAAATAAAAACATTAGCACATTTTATTTAATATTGTTATAAATATAGATGATATAGATGATATTTATTATTCGTACTTATAATTTTTAGTTGCAATATTCGTTAATTTCTTTTTTAACTTTTCAACACTTTGTTCGATACTCATACATTATCCTTATTATAATGTCTCCTTCCGTTTTATTTAGCACGAAATGTCTATCATACTTACACAAAAACCTGTCGTACTGATTGGGTTGGAAAAGTTCCTGCAGTGTATAAAGGTAAAAACCAATAGGTAGATAAAACTTTATGTCGGGTTCCGGTTGAAGTATACGTTTATCTATCGGCTCTATACTATCTAGTTGGCTAACGCAAATCTTGTCGTCCAACGGTACTTCGCAACTAGCATTTAATGGATTTAAAACCTACAAAAATAATTCTGTGGATAGTGTCAATAGCAGAAAAAAGTAAATTGTACATAAAGTACAATTACGGGAGAAAAACGTCAGATCTCTTATATATATTTCAGAACAATATTAGTTTCACACACAATACTTTTAACTCTTTGTACTACGATATATCATGAGACAATATAGCAAACTGAAGGATATACTTACGACGCCTTGAGGAAGACCTTCGTTGTAACTAGGAGAAGGCAATAGTGATTTACTCGGTGCATCTTTATAACGCAAGATAGCTAATTGTTGTATACCAAGAGACGCGCATACTCCCATACCACGAAGTTGTATCCAATAAGAGGCGATGGGTTTGTTGGCGTCCAAAACTATATCGTAACGTTCACCTGGAATAAACATTATATTAAAATTCTTCGTTTGGTTTTAGTAAAAAGTAATCAAAATTTTTACAATCATATCTAAATGATTTAAAAATAAGTAATAGTGAATAATTAAATAAAAATATAGAAGTACATATAATAAAAGTCAACAACAACAAATAATTAAAAATATAAAAGTATAATATAACTATTTGGTGCATAATTAAATATATATAAATAAAATGAAATAGCTTTGCATTAAGAATGTAATTTTCATAATGTATTATTATAGCTTGATATAATCAAAAATAATATTCATCCTATTATAAAATTATAATGGAATGAAGGGAATGATAAACACGATGTACCTGCGAATGATGTGATAGAATCTACCGTTTTTGGTTTGATATCTCGACCATCCGTAGCAATAACGGTCAAGTTATGATCCTGTATGGTGATCATACCAGGGCAAACTGTGCAAAATGCGTTAATTATACGCACACGATATCGTTTACCAGGTTCCACATATATTACTTCCAATGTAGTGTTTGTAGTAATTCCGGTATTTTTATCCTGTAAAAAATTACATTCGTTAATCGTCACAATTTCGTATAAATACAAATAATAAAAAAGCATAAATTTTATATAAAATCAGTAATCTTTATATCAAAGCAAGATTAATAACTAATTATGATTAGATATGCTTAAAAAAAAAAAATAATGTATAAAAATTTGCAAGTATTACAAACGTCAACGTGTTTGTAAATACATACTATTGTTTACGTATTACAAATTTACGGATTATGATAACTTTTGATAACGTCAAACGTACCGTGTATTTTCCTTTGCCATTAATGAGTAACGAGTCTGGATTTTGGCCGGTCTGATTGAAACGTTTGCCGGGAAAACGATTCACGGATGGGTCGTGCATCCAATCACTAATGATTAAAACATGAGTCGAGAGATCGTAATCGTATAAATGACTGTGAGGATCGCGTTCGGGAGTTTGACGTACAATGAGTCTACCGAAAACACCGTCCATCTTTTGCAAACCGCTGTGTGCATGCCAGAAATGTGTTCCCGCATTGTTTGCACCCCATTGATACCTATATTAATGTAAAAATAATGTAATATTATTTACGTTGTTTGACAGGCTGATAGAAATTAATTTTTGAGAATTAAAATTACTATTTTCGCATAAACACGAGTTTGATAGCAAAAGCTTATCTTTATTTTACTTTTATATCTACATAAATATGATAATCAGATGATTAGTTTATTTTATTATTTGTGTAAATTTAAACTTAATATTTTAGATTGTGTAATTTGCAGTATCATTAATCTGTAATTACCTAAATGTAGTATCACTCTCAATAGGACACTGCGTTACATGCGGCACACCATCGTAGTATTGAAATTCTTTTTGATATAGTCCATGCCAGTGAATCGTCATCTCGGAACCGAACATGTGATTTGACACATCGATCACTACGTGATCACCTTCGCATACTTCGATAGCCGGTCCTGGCAGTTGTCTATTTACGATCTGCGCCGAACGTTCAACACCATCAGCAAGTACGCATTGACAATTGCTGCAGAAAGCATTGATCGCATTGGGGACGCACAATTTGCATGCCCTTTAAAAACATTAAAAATGCATTATTAGTCGATTCTTTCTGGATTAAAAATATATAGTACAAATTGATTGTTTCAAAGATGCAGAATAAGTTTCTGTCATGATCAAACTTGGATAACACAATTAATATAGTAAATTTTGAAAACAAAATATGTTATGTAAAACATATTATATAACTTATATTAACTGTTTTATTATTTTATTATTTTAAATAAAAAAATAATAAATTAAAATACATCGTGTATTTTTCCTAATATTGTATTAAATTTTTTATACATAATATACACCAGAAACAATTATATTCTTAAGAACTCCTATTGTTTTATTGTAATTATTTTATTCATTCAAGAAATAGAGAAAACAGTGCGTTATAAAATTTATATTCATATTAATATATAAAAACGTATTATTTTAAATAAGATGTATTTGTAGAGAAAGAAAAATTTCACATCTGTCAAATATACAAAGAATATTCAAATGACACATCGTGTCTAACGTAGAGCATAGAAATAACAAAAGACACATATAGTACTTACATTCCGTTAATTGGATAATACTCCACAACAAAATTGTAATAGCAGATCCTGCGGTCACCTTTCCGACAGGTGCGAGCGCACTCGACGGGACTCGATAGTGAAGAATTCGCGCGAAGCACGTCGTTCAGACAGGATCTCTCATCGATAGGTCTCAAATTATCCAATCCGGCAACAGGAGATTTCCTCCACTTTTGGCGATGCCGAAATGAGAGATTATGCGGATTATCTTTCCGATCTTCAAATGGAGTAAGTGGCGTATTTTCTGTGTATTTCGATTGAGTGTTGGGGTAATACGGAATTTTCGGCGCATCCTTCTGAAGGTAATCTTCATCTCTCTGATTTTGCAACTGCGTATCGATGTAATGCGGAACATTTGGCGCATTATTATAATTTGCATCTTTATATTGCAATAATTTATCGGTGTAATAGAGAGGAGGTTCTATGACCTCGTATAAATCTGGCCAAAATATATTTTCTGATTCATCTGCAATAGAATATCAAACTTCATTTATCACAATCATTCAATATCAAACTTCACTTATCACAATCATTTCTCTCTTTGAAGACATATTAATCAAAATATTCTTGTTAATTGCTTTTATTATAAAATTGTAATATATCAATACTGCGTCTCACACATACGAAATTTTCCTGAAAGTATGCGCTTTCTTAGGGAATGCGCTTAAAGAAATTTACAGCGGAAAACTTAATCTCTCTGATTGAAAGGTAAGTCTTTCAAATTTTGGTTAATTGTTATTAATTTTAGATTGCGAAAAAGGTCGTACCACAAAACGCAACTGATAGATATAATAAAATCACTTGCGTCGCGAACTGCATCGCGATTTTAATGTAATTAATTGGCGCCACATAATATTGTAATACAGCTTTTATACGACTCTTCTTTAAGCGCGTTCTATTATCAAGTAATGTGGACACACATGTATAATACAGCTGAATACATATCACGACGGGCTAAGAATGATTTATTATTTAAACATTGCATGTCAGATTGTTAATACAAGACTCACAATATTATTAGTGCATTCATCTGTTTAACATAACATAAGCGATTGTACCAGTGCATTATTATCAAAAAATATAATTAAATGTAACAAAAAATATCTTTTATTGTAAATAAAAATATAAGATCTCTTTATCACATATATAAGATTTCAATCATGTATTTTTTCTCTATATTTCATATATTATATTTGTATTTATTTCGTTTACTTCCCATAAAAGAACATTAATTTCAACATAATATAATAAAAAAATAAATAAATAATATAATAAAAAATAATAATAAATATTATATATATATAAAATAATATGTCAATAATAGTTTCAGTAAATGACTGCTTTTTAATTTATAGCTGTATAATCAAATAATATATATCAATATATTTTTAGGGATGATGTGAAAAATCTTAAAATAAAAATTTTACGATAAAAATACTATTAAACAAAGCTAATATTCTACTGAAATTAAAGTTGTAGCGTGAATATGTGTGAATAAATAAATGTTATTTTTCCTTAGCTCGATAAATCAGGAAGGAAGTGAATTAATTAATATTTGCAATTTGTAGACATACACATATATGTTTATGTATCTGTTAAAA